ATTCCATTACTTTTATGTGGGTGTTTGAAAATAATTAAAAGGCTAGAATTGTATTTTGAGTCAGATTATGGCATGGTACAAGCTGTGCCCATAGATACAGCTATGTAGGATACTGTTAGTGAATAAGAGAAAAACCTATACACTTCACTTTGAAACAATATAATATTAGAGAAAAACTAAAAGTATACATTTTAAGGGGTTAGCAGTGTTGGGTGTTAAAGGTTAGGTTTTGAGTGTTAAGTGATAGGGTAATGTTAATTTTAATGGTTAGGAGGGATGTTAATCACCTCCATACCACTGTATTGTAAAGGAACGGGGATACGGACACTTGGGCAGCCAGTGCTCCTGTGAATGGCTGCGATTTGAGCCCACATTTTTGGTCTTTTTTAATTTTATAATAAAAATAACCGGCAAAAGAAGGTCCCCAAATATTATATAAAAATTAATTTGGATACAGTGTTGCATGAATGAGTACTTGTCAAACTATCACAGCACTGACAACTGAAAAATTGCCTGGTAATGAAGGGGTGCATGCAGGCTGAACATGTTTTCTTTAGCTTAGGATAAAATAGGGAATGATTAGAAACCCTGTCAGATTTTATCTGCCTTCTTTGTCCTATTGGGGATACTAGCCCTCATTTTATGTCCTGGACAACAGCAAGTTATAGGGAATCTCTACAGAGTGAAGGGAAATCCATCTTGGCTGTCACCTGAACAGACGTCCCTACTGGAAGATTGTCTCTCTATTCCTGCCACACTGTAAAGCTTCGGATTGGTTTTCTGTTTCACTGCTAGTGGTTGCCAGGACAAATATAGGAGTTGAATCTCCGCAGTGTGGGCTCAAGACAGCTGTGAACACTTGACAGAGTTTTCGGCTCCCCAAAAAAATAAAATGGCTTATATACTTTAGGCCTGGTTCACACCTGGGCGTTTTACAGCGCGTTCCTACGCTCTGTAAAACGCTCAACATGTGAAAACCAATGATTGCCTATGGGCATGGTTCCCACCTGGGCGTTTTACAGCGCGTAGGAACGCGCTGCAAAACGCCCTACGCCCAAAGAACTACAGGAGCTTCTTTGGGGCGTATTTGCCGCGCGTATCCAATGGTGATACAGACAGGTAGCTCTCGGAAACGCGCGTTTGTCGCACGTATTTTACCGCGAATGCTGTAAAAACGCGCGACAACCGTGCATATTCGATACGCCTAAGTGTGAACCCAGCCTTAGGGTTTTATAGTTCATATGAGAGAAATGGTTATAATGGGTATAGGTAAGGAGGTATAGGGAGACACTTTACTTTAACACTTGTTTTTTTTCAGCTCCAAAAACATCCATGAGAAACACCCAACACCAGATTTTTTGTGAAGCAAAACCACCATATGATACTATAGTGTCATTTCTATTTTATACAAGTTTTGGTACAAACAAGGCTGCTTATATGAACTTATTCGTTTGCCTGATAGATGCTTATTCTACTACTACATACTTTAAAAATCATTTATGTGACACTAGTAATGGCATTGTACTCCAAATAGCTGTACCAACACACATTGCACAGACATGGTCCACCTTTGTCATTATGAGCAATCCGATTCAGAGCAATGATGTGTAACCAACACTGAGCTGCAACAACAATGACAAAGTATTAGTTTGTTTATACCGTGCTTTAGCAAACTAAATGTCATTCAGTTAGGGTTTAGATGTACTTTACAGGTTTCATATTCAGAACTATAAAACAAAATCCAAATCCAGACAAGTATCACATGATTCAGTGGGGGTGATTTACTAACCTAAACACACGCACGCACCAGGTGTGTGTGATTTTCAAACAGCAAAACGTATTTATCAACCAAAAAGTCTCTAAAAGCATATTTCCACTAATGCCATATATGGAAAAATCATGCACATGATGCATATATAATGCTGCTTCACAGTTTAGACAAAAATGGTTAGCTCATGCATTTACATTCCTTGCATTCATCAACGCAAGCAACACAACATAGAGCTAATTTACCCAACATCACCTTGGAATTCATTCAGGGCTTTGCACAACACACCTACTGGGTGTGTACACATTACAAAGGTGTTTAGATTCCACCCATAGATCATGCTGGGAGGGAACACACTGCAGAGGTGTATACACATTCGTGGTGTGTTTATAAGGTTAGTAAATCAACCCCAGTATGTCAGACAGTTCTTTCAACTACTTAGATCTATACTTGTTGTGGTTGAGCAACTCAGAAAACAATGAAGTCAAAGCATCGGAGTGATAACCAGAGAATTAGTATTTCCAATGTAGAGTTCTGTAATGGCAGCCTCAATTTATCTCTAACGAGGGTGTCTCTTTAAAAGGTGGTATGATTGTCACATGGTGGTAGCAATGGTTCACTGCTTGTTATTTGTCAGGGGTGAAAAAAGTACATTTATGTGAACCACTTGCTCAAGTACAAATGGTTAAATGTGGTGCCATAGAGTTCCACTGTGTTATTACATAGGGCTCCTTGTATCCATAGAATGCTGCATGTCACCAGAGCTGACTTTCTTCCTGTAGTCCTTCCTGAGAGCCACAGAAGAGCAGCAGATCCAGTATTTATGTCTCACTACAGCAGCCTCCAGTGCACACATCCTACACACAATTATTTATAGAACAAACATCCCTAGGATCTATTAATTGTTTCTTATCAGGTGCTAAAGGTATAGTTATTCAGTGCCAATGACAGAAAAGCCATGTTCCTGAGTTATGCACCATGAATGGAAAGTTAATATGTTTAGATTTTAAGCATCATATATTAAATCAACACATTATTTGGCAAAGTTTATAGTATAAGCAACTGTGTACTGAGGCTTATTCATTAGAAAAGCAGCAGTATGATGGATATTAACCTATTCCGTTCTAGAATAGGTTAATTGGAAGTGCACTGGTGGGAAGTGGAAGCAGCACTATCTGTGAGTCTTATTATTTTCCCATGCATCCTTCTTGCATCCAGGGTGACACCAGAATGTGACATCTGCAAGCCATCTATGCCATGGCATTGCTATCTTTTCTGATGCTGGCACATGCCCTAATGCCTGCAGTAGGTAGTAGGTATTGTTGTCCATTCTTGAATCCACAGAATTATCAGCCCCATATGTATTCCTGACCAAGAATCAATCATGGTCAAAGACAGTACACTTTGGGATACAATAACATATAATTCGGGATATGGATCTGATGTGGCATTAGTGTGCTATTATGGTCATCTCCATTTGTAGCTTTTTTCTGCTTTACCACCTTCCTGTCATAGGCCCGGACCCAAACATAGTCTATCCTGGATATTCTCCTTAAAAAATGTAACATGCTTCTTCGATAAACCTACAAAATGTTACTTTACACTGTAACATGATATACACTTCTAATTTAGTATTGGTTGGGGCTTGTAGCAGTATTCATCTTATGGAAAGCTGCTTGCATACTTCTAGACTGTAGTATTATGTTCAATTGCCATTTCTTGGTAGATTTTCTCTTCAAAAAGACTAGTTTGTATAACCTATGGTAGCATGAATGGATGACAAAGTGGAAGTATTTATTTCCCTGCTGAGTTATATATTCTTGTAAGCTGCACTTGCAGCGTCTCTGTGTGCTCCATTTTTGTTGTTTCCTAATGCTTTTCAGTGAAACGATTTATACAAGCCTATAGTGATGAGCTAATGTTTGCTTGCTCTCTAAGGCTGATTTGTCATTTATCAACCCAAAGATGAATCATATGGTAAATATCAAAATATATAATTTTCATGTTGAGACTGATTTAGCTGTTTGCTCCCTGGAAAGGGTTACAGATGATTTTGTGTTGTGCTGGAAACAGTATGATATGTTATGGTGTATGCTAATATCTTCTCGCAATGCTGATATTATTAAGCGCCATGGTCAAATCACTAATCCATATATTTCCTCTCATATGGCTGTACATGGTCTTCATTTATGCACATGTTCAAAATCTGTTTATTACCATAGAGGACTGTAGACTCAGAGTTATTGAAGAATAAATGTTCTAGTTTTATTAAATCCCTTGGCTACTTTGCTAACAGCCAGGCAGTTTTCAGACAAAAAGATTTTAAAATATAATTATACAAATTTTCAGAATTTTTTTTTAAACCTTACATTTTCAATTTAATATTATGTTCTACCTAGGTCTTTTTATACATACCCTCCTGCGCCATCCCATTGCCCATGAAATTAGAAATATATATATTCTATTTATTTATTCTTTAATTCTACAATCAGGAAAACCAGGGATCCATCAACTTTTTCAAAAATGTATCCACTGGTGGAGAAATCCAATTCGGATGTTGCTCCTAAAAGATCTACTGAGGATATCAACAGGGCTTACTATATACCTAAAATAGAGCTATCACAATCAGAATTAGATAGATATCTTTGTTTTAGGTATAAAGTGAGCACTTTTGACATAATGGGGTTGATTTACTAAAGGCAAATAGACTGTTCACTTTGCAAGGGAATTTGTACTTTGCAGGGAAATTTCCCTTAGCTTGGAGAATGTGGTGAAATTTTACTTAGCAAAGAATACCCAATATCATGTGCGAGTATTTTTGATTGCACATGACTGGATGATGGAAGTCAGCAGAGCTTCACCTCATTCACTAAAATAAATTCCCTTGCAAAGTGGGCAGCCTATTTGACTTTAGTAAATCAACCCCAATGAGTGTACTTTAGAAGTTGGAGAACCAAAAGAGGTTTTTTTTTTTTATCTACTAGCTGCTGCTAAATTAGGATGATCATCCATTTCTTGTACACAATTTTGAAATAGGTCTATCATCTTTAAATTTCATTAAAGTTCAATAGTTCATAATGACTGCCAGGAAATAATGACATACTAACAACCTAGAATTTTAGCAGCTTTTCGCTAAAGGATGGTTATTGCTGATACATAAAATACGATGATTTATTACTGTTCTGTTACTAAATTTTGTAGTTCTAAAGAGTCTCTTCATTCTTTTCTCTAGGGTCGTATCTGCAGGAAAGCTGGAAAATCTAAAAAGGCCTTCAGCCGAAAGGAAGCAGAAGCAACATTTAAGAGTTTGGTGAAGACCCATGAGAAGTACGGCTGGGTGACCCCACCTGTATCTGACGGCTGACATGAAACACCCAACTAAAACAGACTTCTAGAAAGGGAACCACCTCACCGAGAAAATGAATAAATATATGAATATATTTAAGAAAAAAGATCGCTATACCATCTCCTCAGTGCTGTACATTATCATTCATCCATTTGTCCTTTTCTACGTCAGCTTCAGTTAAAGAATGTGATTGACAGGAAGACATAATTTATTTATGATGTTTACAAGTGTTTACATTGGAAGACATGGAAGGAAAGCAGTATGTGCCACCGAATGTTGTGTTACAATCATGTCTCCAGACTGATGAGCGATCGTCTTCAGGTCACCATAGAGAGAAGATTGAGATTGCTTCATTGTCCATTCTAGACGCATGATTTTTCGGCTTCTTTCCATGACAGCAGCGCCAAAATGCAGCAGTGGAAGTACTGTCCACAGCTGTCCAGTTTATGTAAATGTAATTGAAGCCGTTAATATTTAATAGGCAAGCAGTGCATTGCAGGTACATGTTTGCTGTGCTGTTTATCTTTGTCTCTTTTCCTGGCAGGTCGACACAACATTGAAGATTTGTCTTTATGTGGAGATGTGGTCCGCTGTGACTCAAAACTTTAGACCTCATTTGTGTTCGATGTGATCTGTGTTGGATAACTGAGGAAATATAACAGTGGAAATAATAATGAATTATAGTGTGGAACAATTGTAAAATAAAAATCACTTAAAAGTGAGTTAAGTGTATTCTGAGTGTATAAAAAATACTAATGGCTATCACTCCTGTTAAAGCTGGCCTTGCAATGCATGGAAGCTGATGTAGTGAGGGCCCCCCTTCCCATCTTAATCCATTGCAGAAAATTTTCAAAAAAAGGACATGTGGGGAGAAAGGTATTTAATATGCTTACATTCTCCCCCAGCTTCAGTCGTACATTGGGTAATGTCACCATCCTTCCGACAAGAGCCAGAAGAGTGCCAAGTACCTGAAATTTCACAAGATGTCACTTCTCACAAGATTTAGGCTAGTTGGCATTCCCTAGGATCTCTCTGGGAGGGTGATGTCTACCTTACCCAGGCATTATGGGAGTAAGTTAGGGGAAATGCATGTATTTTTTTTCCCTCCACAGGTATTTTTACATTTCTGTACATTAAGATGGCGCATGGTCCCTAACTGAATACGATGACCTTGCTATTTTAAGCTTTGGATAGAGTATGAAAGCGTTAAAACCCGTATCATTTTGTTTTATGTTGTGTCCTATTTGCTAGCTAGCTTTGGTAGCTTTTCCCTCACTTTCTGTCCCAGAAACACAAAAAGAAGTGCGAAGAAATATCTGCAAAAGTAAGAGAAACTCCTCCTGAAACAGTTGTTACTGGAACAGGTGCCCCTATTAGAAGATGTATCCTCTATTCCTCTTCGCTGAGAGCTGTATAATTAGACATTTGCAATCACAATGGTCACCAGGACAAATAGAAAGGGTGAATCTACACAGACAGTAATATAAAATTGACAGGGGTTATAATCTTTCTCCGTTTTATCTAAGACAAATAAAAAGAAGTGTTTGCCTATTTATACACTTTAAGTAATTACACAAGGTACAAATCTTAACCTGACATCTCCTTTGTTTTTATACTTTATTTTTTATGTATCTTTAGTGTCAACCTATTATACAGTATATTATAGGGTAGATCAATTTATTCGATCCCTACCCCATGAGAAGTTAGTCTAATGACCATACCACACATACAAGTGCACGCATACATTCCTTAGGACCAGTTTTCTCATAACCCAGTTAACCTAACAGAATGGTTTTGGCTTGTGGGAAGAAATCCCACATGTACATGAAGGAAACACACTGGCAGAGTCTGCATTTAGTTTATAAACTGCAACTGTATAGCAATTGGATGTGTAATCTGGCATGTATTCTTCATACCATTATATTACAGCATGGTGAGCAGAGACAACATCAGCCCAATACACACAAGTGTCTTTTAGTATTTTACTGATGTCTTTCAAGGTCGCGTTAAATTAGATACAGCACGTGTCATTCCCTGTGTGTCAACGTCTCTCAGATGCTTGAAAAGCCAGTAATCATCTTCATTAAAATTTATGGGAGCACTTGAGAAGCACTTGATATGCATTTACTTAGCTCTTTTGTCTGTTTCCATTTTATTCAGTTTTAATTTTCCATTTTAGAAGTCTTTGGATATTACACCTTTCCTTGTGGGTGTGGGGGGGGGGCATTATGTCTTCATTTTCATATTACAGATTATTTGGAACTGAAGAAAATACAATTTTGTGATTAAAAATGCACCAGGGAGACACATTCCAGTGTCCAGCAAAATTTATTTTTTAGCAAAAAAATGTAGAGTATGTAAAAAATAACATATTTAGTACATTTCTGCAATACCTGCACATGTCTATGTGTTTTATCCCTTTAAACACTCTTTAAGTATTGAAAAATAACTTGATATAATATAATAACTTATAACTTGATATACCAGAAATAAAGTGTGCTCCAACCTTCGGCTTTGACATGACATCACAGTGTATTTTAAGCTCTGAATTTCTAAGCATTTGTTGTCAGCCCTGCCTACCTAATATTTAAAGTGACACTAAAGTCATGAGTTAAATTTAAAAAATGCGTTCAAGTACTCTAACTAGCAACAAAAATGTAGCTTATTTGTGTATCACTCAGCATTAGATCCTCAATCATCTTTGAATTCATGCTGACACTGTCCTTCCTTCTCAGCAATCCATTATACAGCACTGCAGATTAATATTAATCTACATACTCTGTGTTGCTCACCAGGACTGTGTGTGGTCTCACCACGGCTGCATATGGGTCTCACCATGGCTGTGCAGTGCCACCAGGGCTGCATATGGGTCTCTCCATGGCTGTGCAATGTCACCAGGGCTGTGCAATGTCACCAGGGCTGTGTGCAGGTTCACCAGGGCTGCATATGGGTCTGACCAGGGCTCTGCAGTGTCACCAGGGCTGTGTACAGGTCTCACTAGCGCTATGCAGTGTCAACAGGGCTGTGTGCAGGTCTCCCTAGGGCTGTGTGGTGTCACCATGGTTATGTGCAGGTCTCACTAGGGCTGTGTGGTGTCACCATGGTTATGTGCAGGTCTCACTAGGGCTGTAAGGTTTCACCAGGGTTGCATGCAGCACTCACTAGGGCTGTGTGGTGTCACCAGGGCTGTGGATTGTCACCAGGGCTGTGTTCAGGTCTCCCTAGGGCTGTGTGCTCTCACCAGGACTGCTTTTGGTCTGTCCAGGGCTGTGCAGTGTCACCAGGGCTGCGTGCAGGTCTCAATAAGGCTGTGCAGTGTCACCAGGACTGTGTGCAGGTCTCGCCAGGGCTGTGCAGTGTCACCAGGGCTATGTGCAGGTCTCCCCGGGGCTATGCGGATGGGTGCAGGTCTTACCAGGGCTGTTCCGGGTCTCCCCATGGCTGTTTGGGTGGGCGGCAGGAAGGTTGAGGAGATGTTCGGGCAGACCGGTGTGAGGTTCCCAGACAGTAGGCTGCCTGAGGTCCCCAACAAGTACGAGACCTAAGGCAGCTGCCCATGTTCAGAAATTTAAAGCGTCAATATCGGCGCTTTGTATCGAGTACTCGCGAAAATGGCCAGTATCGGTACCATTTCTGGTATCGGTAACGGTGCATCCCTAACTGCAATCTCATGTTTAGTGAGCCAATTTGTATTGAAGTTATAGTCTCTCAAGGGATGAAGCGGCTGATCATATGACATTGACAGTGAATGGACTCTTATCTCTCTCTGGCCTTTTTTTTCCCAAAGCAACCAAATTGCCAAACACATTTGTGAAGCACATTGATGAGCATTCTTTTTTTAAAGCAGCAGTATGGCCACAACAAAGCTTTAGAAATCAGACCCTAAGCAATGTGAATTTTCCTGACATATTAGTGGATTGTGGTATCAACTTATTCTACTGGATGGCACACAGAAATAAAAAGTTTTTGTTTTTTTTTCTCAGTATGCTTTTGTAACATTAAAGCTGACTTTATGGGGGTTATTCACTAAGGAGCCGAAGGATTTAGCCAAATGTTCGGCTAATCCTTCAGCTGCAGAAAACCTTTGGTTCAGCCGAACTGAATGGCTGCTGTATGGCCCCAGTGTCAAAACAAAAAAAGCGTGGGGTTCCCCTGCAAAGTCATACCAGACCAAAAAAAAAAAAACTTTGGTCCCCCCTGAAATCCCATACCAGACCCTTAATCCGAGCAGCGGACTGGTAGAGGAGGAAAGGGGGGAGCCAGTGTGCGCCCCCCTCCTGCCCCATACCAGGTCACATGCCCTCAACATTGGGAGTGTGCTCGATGAGGACAAGGGCATCTTCCCCACAACCCTGGCCCGGTGGTTGTGGGGGTCTGTGGACAGGGGTGCTTATCTGCATCTGGGTGCCTACTTTGCAATAGTTAGTAAGCATAGTCTTGACAGAAATTCACATAAAATTTCTCATTATTGTGTTTACTTTACACAACAAAGCTTTCAGCCATTTACTGATATTAGCCCTGTATAATGCGATTCCCACACTCACTGTAAAGCTCTGTTCACATCTCTGCAAATGCATAAACATGTGCAATCCCACACGCGTCTCAGCATCACACCAGATTGCATGTCACACATGTTAGGTGCTCTGCAGTGCCATTATTTATGAATGGCACCCCAATGCGGCTGGCCATCACATGTGTGTTACATCGTATCAAAACGCATTGTAACTTATACTGTCTGTTTTATACTTTTCCTTCTTTCTTCGAGAATGCCTTACTGTCAGCATACTCATCTATGTGATATATGTGACCAGGAAAACAGACAACAACATGGAACTTTTAGCAACAGGTTCTCTTTTACTGATGGATACTCTCACTTACATTTAATGTCTACTCCAAGTCACACCACCGTTACATACCGGCACTAAAACACATCCAACACACTTTTTCTGACTGTTACAAAATCAATGCATTTATTCAATAATGTTGATTCAATTCCCTATATTAAATTACATTGTGTGGCCTCTGTTCTTCACATCCAGACACTGCTGTGCTCTCCTCCATCCATTTTCTTCCTGTTTGTATATGTACAGTCTTGGCCTACTCAT